AAACAACAGACGTCTCTGAAAACTTTTAGTGAAGCCTCCAAAAATGTAATCATTGCAAAATCATTCCTGACATCATTAAGTAAACAATACATTTATGGAATGAAAAATTGCCATTGATTTTTTAGGATTAAGGCTACAGGAAATAGAGAAACTTTGAACCATCTTGACAAAATTTAGTAAATTAATGGTTTTGCGGTTTATAGTTTAATTTGGTGAATATTTCACTTCATATTTCCCTCGTAATTTTGAAATTGGCTGAAACAAAATTTGGATGACTTAGCATTAACTGATTGAAAAATTGTATCTTTCACCAATTTTTCCCATATGCCCATTTTTCCTTCCCAGGAAGCTGCCAATTTATTCTTTCCATATATACATTGCATAGAAAGTAGTACAGTAAAAGTAGATGATAGAACTCCTATTGTTATAGTAGGAAATTGATCAATAAAACATATCGCGTAGTAGACCTAACATTGCATAGGAAATAGTAAAATAAAAGTAGATGATAGAACTCCTATTGTTATAGTTGGAAATTAATCGATAAATTTATCACATAGTAGACCTAACATTGCTAATGCTATTAGCATTGTGAATCCATTCATGCATATTCTTATAAAATCACATCCTAGGAAAATGTATAGAAATTTATAATTCTTGAATGGAGCTTTGTGTGAAAGAATTATATTAAAGAAGGGAGAATCTAACTCTTGAAGCATACACATGCAAATTATTCAAGTTCTATGGTAGGCGATAGATACTAATTTCAAGGTACGACATTTTCTTAGTAGTAATTAATGAAGAATTAATACAAATGATATCTCTTGAAAAATAATTTTTTATTGGAGGAGATTTAAATAGACTTGTTAATACAGTGATAGAAGATTTCAGAAATATTCATGGTGGCTACAGTTTTAAAGTGATTAATGAAGAAATTAGAACCACATTAGATTTTGTTTTAGTGTATGATTTTGTTATTGCTAATATTTCATTTAAGAAAAGAGATGAAGATATTATTACTTATAAGAATGGATCTAATAAAACCCAAATTGATTATTTTTTTATGAGAAAAAAAGATAATTTAAAGATTGTAAGTTCATTCCAAGTGAATTTATGTCTCAACATTTACTATTAATTTTGGATTTTAAGATGAGGAACTGTAAGATAAGGAATATAATGAAATATTTTTATAAAATTAAATGAAGATATCTAAAAAACACAAATAAAATTATTTTTATGAGTAAATTTCAAGTTTTAAAGATTTGGGATGTTCATGAAGAAACTATGATAAAGTAACAAGCACTATTATACAAGTGACAAAACATGTACTTAGAGAATCAAGAGAAAAAGTTTTTATAAATAAAAATAATTGATGGTGGAATAATAATATGTAAAAAATGATAAAATATAAGAAATATTATAAAAATTGGTTTGAATGTAAAAACTTAGAGAACTGAGAAAAATAGATGATGAAAAAAATTCTACCTTTAGTGATCTTTAGAATAAATTAGATGCTAAACAGGGCGAAAAATGTATGTTTAAACTAGCCAAAAAAAAAAATCAAGTAAAGTGCATTGAAGATCAAAATAAAAAAGTATTTTCCCTAGAGGATATCCACCATAGGTGGGTGAGCTATTTTGATAAACCTTTCAATAATGTTTCTGAAATACGATCGATTGTATTGATATTAATGTCATTAATAATAAAAAAAATATTTTATTTTTTACTGTTGCACTAGTAAAAAAAGGTTGAGAAGGCTTTAAAGAAGACCAATAATGAAAAATTAGTAGGGCATGATGTTATCTCAATTGAAGTGTGAAATATTTAGGTGATTTGAGGGTTCATGGCTTACTAAACTCTTTAATATTATTTTAAAAACTAAAAGAAGCATGACGAGTGGGGGAAGAGTATTTTGGTCTCCATTTTTAAGAAATAAAGGGGATACACAAGAGTGTACACAAGAGTGTACAAATTATAGAAGAATTAAATTGATGTGTCATACTTTAAAATTATGGAGAGGGTAATTGAACATCACTTAAGAGTGATACAAAGGTTTCTAATAATCAATTTGGATTTATGTCAGGCAGGTCTACGATATTTATTGAGAGGTTTCATGGAGAAGAGAATAAAGAGGATCTACATATGATTTTTACTGATTTAGAAAAAGCTTACGTTAAAGTTCCAAGAGAAATCTTATGTAGAGTTCTAGAGAAGAAAGGTATTAATATGACTTATATTCTAGTCATTACAAATATGTATATTAGATTTGTTACTTGTATTCAAACAGGAGGATTGGCCAAGTATTTTTCTATTTCAGTTGAACTACATTAGGGATCGACTTTATGCCCATATTCTTTTGCTTTAGTTATGGATGCTCTTACTGGACATTTACAGGAGGATGTACCTAAGTGTATGATTTTCACCGATGATATGTTTTTTGTTGATAAGACTAGAGAAAGAGTTCAGTAAAAAACTTGACTTATGGAGGTCTTCATTGGAGTCTAAAGGCCTTCGTTTGAGTAGATCTAAAATTGAATGCATGAAATATAATTTTAGTAGTAGCTCTAGTAGCAAAGCTATAACTATGGGTGATAAAATCATTAAAAAGTGTGAATGTTTTAGACAAATTGGGTCTATTGTTCAAAGTGGCGGTGATATAGATGAGTATGCTATTTGTAGAATTCAAGTTGGTTGAAGTGGAGGAATGCATCAGGCCTATTGTGTGATAAAAAAATTTCGCTTAGACTTGAAATAAAAATTTAGCAGATGGATGTGAGACCTGCAATGTTCAATGTCGCAGCATGTTAGTCTTTGAAAGAGAAGCATAAAACAAAGTTAAGTGTTGCTGAAACTGTTGGTGAGATGAGAATGCTTAGGTGGATGAGTGGCTTGAAACTTAGAGACAAAATGCAAAATTAATATATCCGTTATTGGGTTGGTGTAGCTCCAGTGCTAGACAAGATTAGAGAGAGTTGTCTTAAAATGGTTTGGTCAAATTAAACGTCGACCATCTGATGTTCCGATTAGGGAGTAGATGTGTTAGATTCGACTTATGCTAAGAAAGGAAAGAGGTAAACCTAAAAAGACTTGAGCATATTCTATAAAAAATGATCTTAATCTATCATAATTAAATGAAAATATGACGCTCAATAGGACACCAAGGAGAAAAATGATTCATGTAGCTAACCCCACTTAGTGGGATAAATACTTGAGTATATTGTATAAAAAATGATTTTAATCTATTAGAATTAAATGAAAATATGACACTCAATAGGACACAACGAAGAAAAATGATTCATGTTACCGACCCCGCCAAGTGGGATAAAGGCTTGTTGTTGTTGTTGTTGCATATTCTTAGGAGGTATTCTAATGAATTGGAGAAGTAGAAACAAAACATGATAGTAAAATTGTTGTTGCATATTCTTAGGAGGTATTCTAGTTTTAAAATAAAGTTTAGATTATAGCATTTAAAATCTGTGAATTTGTTTAGCTGAAATTATTTTAGAAAATTTAAAAGTTAAATGGAAAGGTCTTATGACACTCTTTCATGATAATATGAAAACTATCAATATAGCACATAAACCTTTACAACCTGACCCTAAAAGATATATTGAAGTTGATAAGCATCTTTTGAAGGAGAAGCTTGATAACAATATATTTTGTACTTTGTGGACATATTAATTAGAAGATTATTAGAAATTGTCCCGAGAAATTGCCTTGAGGCTCATGCTTTGTACTCCACCCTCCCAGCGCCACTACTTTCTCTTTGTTATATCAAAGAAAAAGATCAAAGATCAACAAAATCTGTTTTGGTGTCTCCTTCCATTTTTCAGCATTCTAAAGCATCGTCGCTTCAGTTGTTCTATTGACTTGGGAAAGTAAAAACAAAACATGATAGTAAGATCTCGTTTTAAAATAAAGTTTGGATTCATAACATTTGAATTCTATGATTTTGTTTAGCTAAAATTATTTTAGAAAATTTAAAGGTTGAATGGAAAGGTCTCATGACACTTTTTCATGATAATATGAAAACTATCAATATAGCACATAAACCTTTACAACCTGACCCTAAAAGATATATTGAAGTTGATAAGCATCTTTTGAAGGAGAAGCTTGATAACAATATATTTTGTACTTTGTGGACATATTAATTAGAAGATTATTAGAAATTGTCCCGAGAAATTGCCTTGAGGCTCATGCTTTGTACTCCACCCTCCCAGCGCCACTACTTTCTCTTTGTTATATCAAAGAAAAAGATCAAAGATCAACAAAATCTGTTTTGGTGTCTCCTTCCATTTTTCAGCATTCTAAAGCATCGTCGCTTCAGTTGTTCTATTGACTTGGGAAAGTAAAAACAAAACATGATAGTAAGATCTCGTTTTAAAATAAAGTTTGGATTCATAACATTTGAATTCTATGATTTTGTTTAGCTAAAATTATTTTAGAAAATTTAAAGGTTGAATGGAAAGGTCTCATGACACTTTTTCATGATAATATGAAAACTATCAATATAGCACATAATCCTTCGAGCCTGACGTTAAAAAAATATATTGAAGTTGATAAGCATCTTTTGAAGGAGAAGCTTGATAACAATATATTTTGTACTTTGTGGAGATATTCATTAAAAGATTATTAGAAATATTATTTCAAAAAATTATCCTTCCATTCGTTCACTTGGTGTGAAATTGTCTCGAGAAATTGCCCCTAGGCTCATGCTTTGCACTCCATCCTCCCAGCTCCACTACTTTCTCTTAGTTATATCAAGGAAAAAGATTAAGGATCAACAAAATCTGTTGTGATGTCTCCTTCCATTTTTCGTCATTCTATGGCCTTGTCGCTTTAGCTGTTCTATTTATTTTTATATATGAACTTATCCGACATTATTTTTTAGCATTTTTTGCATGACTTCGGGGGATTCTATGCCAAATAGGGATACAGGAGTCTTTTTCAAGTCGTCATATGTCATAATTTCTACTAAGACTATTTTTCTAACTTTTTTGAAGGAAACATTGCACTTGCATCATCAAAGAAAACCGGCAACTATAATAGCTGAAGGCCTCGAGGGTTCATTTCATGGAACTGAATTAAAAATAGATTTGGAAGAACTTGAAGGAAGCGACGGAGACTCAAAAGAAAACCTTTTTGTGAACTGGCCGTTGATGTCATCAATTATTGTTTATTCTGTCTTCTCTCTTCATGATATGGCATACGCTGAGGTAATGCTTTTCACTCTTGTTATTACTTAATATTCCTTATCAGCATAGTCATTATTTGTTTCTTTGTTGTTACAGCAGTTTTCTGTGTCATAACCTTATTGTACATATATTTTTTTGGTGCAATTAAATGCTTCGTGTTAATGGATCCAAGTGAAAATGGTAGTAAACTTTGGATATTTGAGTCCATTAGGGGTGATTAAAATTTTGAATTTTTATTTCCAAGTGAAAATGGCCATTTATAAATAGAGGGATGTATATGCTATGATTCACAATCAAGGAAAGCTGGTTGTATCACTTTGAAGGCTTCCGTAAACTATCTGAAAGCTTCAGATGCTCGTATGGTTCCAAGTCATATATATTTTTTTTTCCTTGGTCCATGTTGAAATGGTTATATGAATGTTACTCTATTGTCATTGACTCATGAGCTAAAGCTATTTTTTCTCAGTTCTATAAAACACATACTTTGATACGGTTTGGTATTTGACTTTTTTATGCTTTGGTAATTTACACTGAACTTGTATGCTATTTTCCAGATATTTCCCTTGTGGGCTGAGAGCGGTAGTGCATATGGAGGACTTGGTTTTTCTTCTCAAGATGTTGGTGTGGTGCTTGCAATATCAGGTAAGCTGATTCTGATGCTTTTCAAGTCCCTTATTGCGATGGTGCCTCCCTTTTCCTCGATGACTCAATGTCTGTTCTACAAACTAATTAAGCATCGGAGTTACTGAAGGGAAGTTTTGGGCGGTGGCAGTTTTTGTCACTATATTCCAGGTTCAGTCAGTTATTTAACTCCACCTATTTTTGCAAAGGTGGTGGAAGTTTCTTGGCAAAAGGGATTTGTACAAGCAATTTACAAGTATTCCTAGAAATGCATGCAAATTTAAAATATTTTTGGGGCTTTTAATTTGTTTTCTTTTTTTACCCTGCTTTATCTAGTCTAGTGGAATTAATACATAATCTTGATTTGTGATTTACGCTGCGTGAACCCTTCATGGTGATAAAAGTGATTCTACACCGATGATATCTAAAGAAGTTTTCAATTCTTGGTAGTTATTTTTTTTATTGGTAAAATTAATTAAGTACAGAATCAATTTTTCGCTTACAAATGACTGTTCTACCAGTCCAGGAGGCACTCGTTTGGATTGGCCCAACCCAACTAGACACGCCAGCTCAGCAAAGTTGTTCGCCCGGTAGGCTATGGCGGCAATTTCTAGTTCCTTTTGTTACGACTTGACTATAGGGCCTCTAATTAACTAAGATTGGAATAGACAGTTAGATGATGGAGTTAAGTTTTTTATATTTCTAGTTCTATCACTAACAGTTTAGAATTCAAATATTCATTGAAAGAGCCACTAAAGGAAGTAAGTTAAATTACAATTCAAAGTTTTACCTTTTTGATTGTTGATCACGTCTTCTGTACACATTAGTCTCTCTTCTATTCATCTTAGTCAAAAGCTTATGACCTGAAAAAATATTAAAACAAATCAATGAGTTATCTAAAAATACTTTAGGAGCAATCACACTTCAATGCATTGATTCAGTTAGCTGAGACTGAAGACTATGCTCGGATTTTCTCTAAAAAATATCTTAACATTGCAGATAAGTCAATTCAAGTGATCTCCTAATTTTGCCTAATTTTGACCCAAATCATGAATCTCCCACTATACCGGTATGGTTTGGTTTATCTGGTTTCAAGCTGCTTTTTTTAATCAGGTTCTCTACTCTATTGGAGATATACTTAGGGATCTTATGACACTAGATCTACCCACCGTCAATCTAACCAGGACTTCTTTGTTCAGAATACTTGTGGAGAGGGATATTACTTTACCTGATATTACTGAAGACTAGCTGGACACAACTCATAATGAATATTGACAACAATTATCACGGAACATTGACCTTTTTATTGTACCCACTGTAGGATATTTGGATATACCCTTGATAAATGTCTTTGGTTTCATCCTAATTTGAAATCTAAAGCTCAAGTTAATAAGGATGGGTTTAACCTCACTGTTTATATCTGTTCCACCTGGGGAGGATACTACCACAAGATAGGTGGTGTCTGTTGCTCCTGTGGCCCCCCCCTGACACTACTGTTATTGTTACTGCGATTATTGTGATGCTGGATGGCTCTACTGGGCAACCTACACCTTCAAACCTTATTGAAAACATTACTGAAGGATCCTTACCTAATAAGGATAGTGTTCAAACATATAATCAGGAGAGTCTTGCAACTCCTCATCTTTATGAAGTATTCGGTGCAGAGGCGACAACTCATACTTCACATACACTAGAAACTATTGTGGTTACAACGGTTGACAATCTTTCTCCTACGGTTCTATCACCTCATCCGAACAAGAGTCAATCTTCGGATGATGAATGACTATTTACTAAAGCAGACATTAAACAAGCCTTCAGCTTTTGAAAAGCCTCATCACAACGATCAGATCAGTCTAACTTCACTGTCTTCTGAGTCAACATTGATAATGACATAACAATCTGTGAAAGCCCCTCAAATCTCCTAAAATAACTAGTCAGACTTAGCAAAATCCTAACCTCAGTAACTGAAGTAGGTCTTGGCCAATCTGCAATCGCTTTCATCTTGTTCTGATCCACATATACGCCATCACCGCTAACAATGTGCGCAAGAAAAACAACATTTTTAAGCCAAATTTTACATTTAGAAAATTTGACATGTAATGTTTTAATGATCTGCATGATGGCTTCATCCCTCGAATACACCAGAATATCCTCTATAAAGATGATCATAAAATTATTCAGAAACTGTCTGAAGACCCTGTTAATCAGGTCCATGAAATTGTTGGAGCATTTGTCTGTCCAAATGATATCACCACGAATTCATAGTGTCGATATCTAGTCCTGAAAGTAGTCTTTGCTGTGTCTTCTTCTTAATGGCCTGACCTCAGCTCAAACTTTGAAAATACAGAGGCCCCTTCCAATTGATTAAACAAATCGTCAATCCTCGATAATGGATATTTATTTTTGATTGAGTTTATTCAATTACTTGTAGCCAAAACACATACTGAAGTTCCCATCCTTATTTGTTTGTAGCCAAAACACATACTGAAGTTCCCATCCTTCTTCACAAATAATACTGGGGCTCCCTAAGGTGAAGTGTTAGGTTTGATGAAGCCCTTATCTAGTAACTCCTACAATTGACTTTTTAGCTTCTGCAACTCTTTAACTGCTATTTTGTAGGGTGTTTGGATGCATGCTCAGAATCTGGCAAGAGCTTAATACTGAAATCAATCTCTCGCACTGGGGGTAGTCTTGATAAATCTGGCAAGAGCTTAAAACTCTTCCACCAATTATAAGCTTCATCTCACATGATTGATCAACTTCCTAGAAAAGCACCATTTGACATTCTAACAAATTGTATCACAAGCATCGAAAGGATATTCAATCGCATCACTTTAGCAAGTTCATTAGCTATAAATTAGTGTGATGCTCCTGAATCAAATAATATTCTTATCGGTCTACTATAAAGATACATGATACCTATCATTAAAACATCGCATTAAATATTTAGAGGTAGTTTATTAATACTTAAATTCTTACTTATTTTATGTATGACATGACATGAATCCTATGATGCTTAAAGTTCACTGGGTTGAAAATGTTAAAAGAAACATATCTGTGATGAAGTCATGAGAGTCTTTAGCTTCCTGCTGCAAAAGAGCATGTACTCTGAGCTGAACATTTTGCTGAGTTTGGTCTTCATTTGACACTGACCCTGAAGATTCAACTATCTTTGGTTTACCATAGCTCCTCTGGGGCAACACTGCCTCTAGAATCTACTGGATCTCTCTTACCCAATTTTGGATGATTCTTCGCCATATGTCCTGGCTATGACACCAAAAGCAGGTATTCGATCTAGATAGACATCACCATTGTGAGACCTTCCACACTTGTCAAATATCTTCGCTTCAAACTGAGTGCTAACACTGTTGGATCTAGCCTTCTTAGCACTTGTACTACAATATTGGAAGGTCTGCATCTGAAAGCTCTGAGGAAACAGTACAAAAATAAATTATAAACATATGATACTAATACTTATCAGCTGCACTACTCCTATAAACTAAGTCTCTCATGCCAGACATATCTACCTAAAACTTTTTTTTCCTGCAAAAAACCATTGATTGCAACTATAAATATGACTTAATGAATAATTATAATCTAATATGCAGTAAATTATGTTGTTTATGCTATCAATGAATGACTAAAATAAAATGCAGCTCATTTCCTCATAAAATGTTGCACTTTTGTATCAGTTTTATCCCTTCTCATTTCACTTTAAATATTTACCAATTTAATTTATTTAATAGTCATCACAGTATTACCATCATGTCCGAAGATATCTTAAAAAATATGTTCAAAGACTCTCAAAATTATACCTAAAGGTACCCTCAAATTGTACCCAAAGGTACACATTTGCTATTTCCGTTAACATGTTGTATCTGCTGCTAATACCATCTGGTGGTATATTTGTATGACTTAAACCTTCACAATTTATTTCATATGATTTAAAACATCTAAAATATAACCTGATTAGTCTGTTGTTTTCCTCTCATCTATTATACTATTTCAGACATTCAAAATGAAATTTATGAATGAAGTGCTGGTTTTAAATCATTTATTATAATGATTTATTTATTTAAACATTAATTTAATGCATAAAAGAAAATAATCACTCACGTTTGCTGTCAAGTGACCTCTAAAATAATTTAATCATTCATTTTGCTTCTTGACTTTCACCTATTAATTAAATGTGCATATAATTATAAAAATTTTATTCTAAAAGAAAGACTTAAATATATTTAATGACATATAATAAGAATAACTCAAATAAATAATTATACCATTCATTACCTTAAAAAGATTTGGTTTGCATCATTGCACAAGTCTCCTCTCTCCTCTTACAACTCTAATTGATTCATCTTTAATTTTCTACCTTTATATCTGATTAGATTAAACTTGTTATTAGCCTTTGTAAACTGATATTTCACATTCAACCAATTAATATCGTAAAACTGTATACTCATATATTAATTTACTTATTAAAACTAATAAATTTTAACTTTTCATAGGTTCGACCATCTGACCTAACTTTACGGGCACAAGGTTCGCACGAGCACTTCTCTCCTCTTCCTCCTCTCAGTCTACCTTTGACACAAACCAAGCATCCGCATCTCTCTTCCCTCTCTTCTTCCGTACGCGAGGGACACTGGGGCTTCGAGTGGCCTACCTCTTCTCCTTTAGTTGTGACTCGACCCTTGTTAAACTCCACAGGTAGGACACGAGCTTCGGCTCCAGTTCGATCTAGAGCTGCTCGCATGCGTCTTCTTCTTCTCCATTGACCTCGTCTTCCACCACACGTGAGAAAGGTAGCAGCGCAAGAAGTGGATCCTCCTTCCTCTTCGTCATCGCTCGAGTAAGCATCACACGATGAGGAATACTGCACGAACCTTCTTCCTTCTTTGGCTCGCTCAGACCCTCTTACAACCTCTCTGCTGTCTCCTCACTTGCTCGATGGTTCAAATGAACAAACGATCAAATGATAGCAATATGTCTCATCCGATAGAATGCATCTCTCTAATCTAGCGCAGATTTTTTATTTATTCATTATTATTATTATTATTTTCTTCTATTATTACCTACACCTTTGGCGTTGCCCCCCCCTCCCCTTAGCACACGCACACAAAGTAGAAGTATGAGAATTGTCATCTCTGCCTTCTTCCTCTCTTCCTCATGCTGGAAGCTTACTCGGTAAGATACTCTTGCATGTAGCGACTCGATCGCTTCTAATCCTTGGCTTTGATCTTCACAAGCAAGCTTTCTTCTTCATTCCTTTTCTTCTTCTACTACCACTTGTCCTTGTGCTGCCGCTTCTTCTTCTTGTTGTTGTTCATTTTCAACTTCTTGCTTTGTCTCTCGCGCTCTCTCTTTCTCTTGCTCCCTCTGGCTTTCTCTTATGCTCAGGTTTGAATGGGTGTGAGAAATGAGAGCTTTCTCTTTAACTTCCAATACCCGCGCATTTGTTTTCAAATGACAACTTTTTTTTTTAATAGAAATCAAATACTGGTTATTACATTTTGGGGGTGTTTATTAGGGCTAATCACCTAGGATTTGGTTTAATCTTTATGATTTCCTATAGTTTCTTTGGGCTTCCTAGCAACGTCTAGTATTTTGTGGAGAAATGATTTTTCTCTCGAATTTTAAATCTCCTATTGTATCTTGTTTGTTTGCTTTGATATTAATCAAATTAGGTCCAGATTTGATTTTCCCATCTATTGTTGTACTTTATTCGCTGATTTTTTGTTCTGATTCGTATCAATGGCACGGATTATTAGAGTCAAGATATTGATTTCTGGTTTGGTGGGATGTGGCGGTGTTATTAGTTCCTGTGAAAGAAGCAAAGATGAATCGATAAATTTATGCATACTACTAATATTTCTTTTGTCTTGATTTTAAGCCAGAAGTTATTTTATCAATTTTATGGTTTGTAGTTGCACATTGATTCATTATGAAACATCTAGCTTGATAAAGTAAGACTGATTTTTTTTTTGTTGTTTTCGTGCTATTTGTTTTTCTTTAATTAATGTGTAGCACATTTGGGAGTCTTCAAATAATATTTCAATAATACTCGTTGAAAATTTGAAGTTTGCTTGATTTGACTAGGTAGTTCAATTTTAACTTAATAGTGAACCAATTTCCCCTTTTTCCTGTGACATAATATGGAGCTATAGGAAATTTCTTTTCTTCTCTTTCAGCCACTTTGATGGATAACATAGAATGTCATCTAAGGTCTACATAGATGCAGGATTAACTTGAACTTATTTTATAAACTTTAAGGTAGAGGAGACTAGAAATATATTTTCCAACATATATGGTATTGTTCATGGATTTCAGGTTTTAGCCTTCTCATATTTCAATTATTTGCATATCCGCCAATGGAGAAAATTGTTGGACATGTACGCTTGAGCCGTGCTGCAGCGGTACGAAGTTATTTTGGTGCTTTAATCATTCATTACTAGATTTATTGTTGTTTGACTCACCTGTGATGCTTCATGATTTAATTTCAGTTGTTGGCTCTACCGTTAAATGCAGCCTATCCCTTTATGGCAAAGCTGTCAGGGCTTGAACTTAGAATACTAGTGAACTGTGCCTCCTTGGTGAAGAATGTACTTAGTGTAAGTAGAACTATAGTAAAAGTGTTTTGTAATTATAATCACATGACATATTTCCAGAATGTTTATCCGATCTAAGAAAGCTCAGCACCTGATGTCTAAAAAGTTATCTAATTTTTATTTTTAGATTATATGCTTCTTTTTTTTATCAGAATGGATTGTGTTCATATGCTTGAATCATGCCAGGCGATGAATTAAAACATTTCGTTGCAAAGCTTTATGCATCCATGATTCATGTTTGTTAAATCGCGATGGGTTAAAAAATTGAATTCTCTAGTAAAATACTATAAGAATGACTGAAAACTAAGCTTGCAAAACTTTGAGATAAAAATGATCTTATGAAAACTCTTGTTTCATATTTTTATCTTGGGGAACATATAGTTTTTTCTTAAATATTAATTTCAATTCTTGCACATTAGAGTCTTTTGCTTGTACTGTAGCATGATTTATTTTTGCATTGTTGGAAACCGATTTTTCATCCTCATTAATACATGTGATCTTTTCCTTCCATTTTAGATGTTGCTGGAAGTAAAGTCTTCTGATGTTTTTCATCTTTGTTTAATTAGAACTTGCGTGATTCCTTAATATAGCTTTTAGAGCCAGCACTCACTTTGTGTTCTTAAAAAAATGATCTGGTTTGCTTTTCATGCTAATAAATGTTTCTTATAATGTGTATATCCTTTATATTATATGTTTAGCATGCCGATAAAAGCTTGAGTGAGGCAAATTTGATTATTTTACTCATTGGATATGCAAATCAAATGAAACTGTAGATTCTATGGCATAGCAGTTTTTTCTACATGACACTTAGTTCTCATCTTCCGGCTGGTGTTGTGCTCTGATACCATTTGTGACAACCCAAACTCTCACCCATTAAGGTATTGTCCGCTTTAGCCTAGTTGTCTCACGGTTTTGCCCTGTCCCGTTGGTGTAACTTCCCAAGAGGTCACCTATCCCAACAGTGCTCTAAGATGTAAATATTTAACTTCAGAGTTTATATCGAAATTTCACCATTACACAAAAGGCGATGTTTAAGAGTTCAACCTCATTCTACTTAAAAGGTTTCACAAAACCTATGCATATAGGTGGATTTCACTTTTAAAAAGTGATAACAGTGCTAATTTTGATGTGATTTGAGTCTTATATGTGTAAATGTAGAAGCTTGGTTGTGAGATTTGTAAATACAGAAGAATTGTGTTCCATTTATGTAAATGCCCCAATTTAAAATATTTTAAGAAAACATAAATTCAAGGTACAAAATATATATTTTTCAATGATGTTGCTCACTCCTAGGCTTCATGACTTTTCTTTATTTATGCTTTTTGGGTTATGGCTTATGAAATTATGAAAGGATTTTGTTTTTCAAAAACATCATAATGTTAAAACCAAAAAAAAAAAAAAAAAAAAGACTAGATTTTGCTTAAGCTAAGAGTTGGTTTGCTGTAAATGTTGATCTTTTGTGTGTGCTTTAGTGCATCTCAAACGTTTCTATTTTAGTAAACTTTGGACCTTATGACATCTAGCAACGTTGAGAACCATAATGATACTGGAGTTAACCAAAATCACAATAAGAAAAGTAAATGTTATTATTGAAATTGAAAGCAAACATATGGTTACAATCAAATACACTTGAAAGAGAACTTGCAATGAACACTACACAAACTTACACTAGGGCTCGATATATGGGTGGGTGATGGAGGTCAGATAGGTGGTTGGAGGAGCAGAGATAGATAAAGAGTTGGAATCACGTTGACAGTGAAGCAGAGGGTTGGGACTGAGAGGGCAGCAAGTGGAGCAGCGAGGCAAGGTGGAAAAGGCTAGAATGGTCAGGGCACAACCAGAAAAGAACGGGTGTGTTGTTTTTTGGATGACAGTAGCATTATGGATGGATGGACAATGGTAGAAATAGCGAGGCGAGGGAGGGAACAGTGGCGGTAATGAAGATAAAGGGCCGGAATTGTGATGGCACGGAAAAGGAGGGAGGCAAAGACAATGACGGTTGGAATTGCAGAAAATAGCAATTAGAATATTGTTGCTGGTGGTTGCAGCAAGATACAAAGATCCAGAGAGCAACGTGGGGAGGATGTGAAAGGTTGGAAGGGGATCAAGAAGATAATCACCATCTCTGGAGAGAGATGCAGCCAGAGCACCACCCAATCCTTCGGATATAGCTCTCAAAAGGAGAAATGGTCTCCATTAGCTGTCCTAAACAAAAAAAATGAAAAAACTGAATCACATATATAAGCCCTAGATAACTAGGATTGGATCCCCCTATGAAAAGATGGCGCCAATTCCTTATGGGAGAGCCATCGGCCCTCCTGAGTCTGACCGGTTTGATCCAAACAAGTCAATCTTGCAGGATTGGGAGCTTTGACTTCATCCGTCGAAACTTCTGTCTCTTCATAGTAGTCAAGTCGGCCTTACTAAAGGTATCAGGAATGACATAATCTCCTGGCAAGTCAATCTTACAGGTGTTGATATTCCGATACACACCTTGATAGAATAAATATATATCATCCTTTGACAAATCCTGAGCTAGAGCTACATATAGATGTTAGTTCCCGCAATATAACTCTCGAGCCCTTAAGTGTGAAATATTCTTCTTCCACTTCTCGTGCTCAATCGGTTGTTGAAAAACAAGTATATGAAAAGAAATCAACTCTGAGATGAAATCTGTGGCAGACGATGTCACTCTCACTAGCAACCACTCAAAAGAGATCTTTTATTCTTCACTGATTGAACCTGTATACTATTGAAGAATTTTTTCCATATCAAGCTTCTAAGATAAATTTCAAAGCCGTGGTTCATTCCTTTTGTCTGGACATCTGACTGTCTAGACATTTGATGGTGGGTACAATGTCAAGCTGAATTTAATATCTGAATAAAGCCATGTAATCTTCCAGACGTGGCACAAAAGAGTCTCATTTTTTATATATTGGACCTCCCTCAGTAGGAGCAAGTTAGGAAGGAATCTATAAATCTAAAAAGTCTGAATTTCTCTTATTTGGGTTCGCTATGTCTCCGGTGTAGGTTCCTTGTACTCAAGACTGCCTTGTATAATCATTGTTAATTCGGTTGGAGTCTCTCATGTGCTCAACTAAAATTATGTATATCATTTCCTTCGATGGAATCTGTTACTCTTTATTTCCTCAACTTATTCAATGTCTAATGTATTGTTACCTATTTTTTCAAAGCCTTGCGTAGTGAAACAGATCTTTACTCTAGTTGTGCAATCTGATAATATGCCCAAATTCATGGCACGAAACACTTTCTGGTGGGGACAAATTTAGGAATATTTGTTAGTTCCACCTGTTTTCTACTCAGAACTAGTATCTTCTCTAGTGGGGTTGACTTGGATTTTTCTCTTGGTGTACTCTGTTTGTATGATTTGTAGGTTGAATCTTGCCTATAAAATATTGTGGTCATCCGATAATGTGGTCTTTTTACTTTTGAAACTGAGGTCTAAACAATCGGTTTGTAGTGAATTTGTAGGTATTGGAGTTGCATCTCCCATTTTATCTTGGATTAGCAAGTAATCTTGTCTTTTCCCTCGCGCTGACATGGGTGCTTCAAATTTTGCCATCAAAATAATGCATTCTTCTTTAAATTGTTGGGGCTAGTTTCACCATTCCATTCAGTTGGATGTCTTGACACTCAAAGACACATTTTAAGGAGTAGCACCACTTAATGAAGTCGTCTAAGATCCATATGGCCATTGAAATATGACAAATCCACGTTTACTTCGAAATTTTGGCTTCTCAGATAATTCATGTCACATCTTCGAGGTAGATTTTTTTCATCTTTGGAATTTAGGGGATCGATAAGATTCACTTCATTACTTCAACCTTGCACATCACTATTGTGGCTATGAGTGACCTTTCTAGATTATCTTTTCTCGAATGTGACAAGTCTTTGTTGTAGTTGGGGGTTTTCTACTTCATATCCTCCCTAGAAATCCCGTGGACAGCTCTTTGTGAATTTCTCATAAACGACATCGTGTCCTGTCCCCCTTGATCAGGCTTCTGATGATTATCTCCATGGTGACATGGCTTTGTTTTGGATGTGGGTGGGTGGAAGGAGGTGTGTGAGGGTTATGTAGGGTGTAAAAAAAAAAGTTTAGGTGGATATAGAGTTGGGTATTAGTGGATGTTAGAAATCCTAGTATAAGACTAGAGTTAGAATAGCTCTAATACTAAATGATATTGGAATGAACTTAAACCACTAGGAAAACTAAATATTATTACTGAAAGCAAATATGTGGTTACATTCCACTTGAAAGATAAATTACAACAAACACGACACAAACTTTCACTAGGGTTCGATCCATGGGTGGTGAAGGTCGGCTAGGTGGTTGGGGAATGAAAGTAGATGACTGAAATGGCTTGTATGTGCTTGGGACAGCAAAAGAAGGGGTTGGAATCACGTCGGTAGCGAAGCGGAAGGCTGGGACAGAGGTGGCAGCAAGTGGTGTGGCAAGCAAAGCAGCGAGGCATGATAGGAAGGGCTGGAACGACCAAGGGACGGCAAGAAAACAGCAGGTGTGCCATTTTCCGGATGACAGCAACATTACGGATGGCTGGACAGCAGTCAAACTATGAGGCGAGGCAGAGAACAGTGGCGGTAGTTAAGTGGGATGGCTGGAACTGTGAGGGAAAGGCGATGGCGGCAGCTGGAACTGCCAAAAACAGCAATTAAAATGCTGTTACGGGCGGATGCAACGAGATATGTTGATCAAAAACGATATGTGGAGGATGTGGAAGGGGATAGGAAAGATAATGACAACATCGAGAGAGAGGTACAGTCGGAGCACCACTCAATTCCTCAGATACAATCCTTGATGGGAGAAACGAACGCTGGCGGCTGTACAAACAAAGTCACGCCCAAAAATTGAAAACCTTAATATAGGAATCAAATATATAAAAGCCCTAGATAACTAGGATAGGATCCCCTTATGGAAGGAAGTGTCAATTCCTCGTTGGAGAGCATATCAGTCCTCCCGAGTTTGGACTGATTCAGTCCAGAGGAAGGACATTGCGGGAGAAGCCCGCCACTCCCGCCATGCTGCGCCCACGGAGTTATTAGCGTGCACGCATTACATAGATTTATTTCCATACTTGTTTGATGAATACTTTTATTCTTGTTCTTCTCTTCTCACCAACGAATCATATTTTTATTTGTTGATTATAGCCGCATAACTTAGTTGTCTAATTTTTAATTTTATTTTGATACTTGCAATCAGACTGTAATCATCACTGGATTGTTCATTCTGCAAAATAATGCCGTGGTAAGTTTTTATATTTTCAAATTTAGCTATATGCACTATTAATGATGACGGGGAAAGTTGCCTAACTTTCCAAGGTGCCAGAGCCATTAGGTATTACTTATATTTCTTCATATCAAAATCACAGGAACAATCCCAAAGGGGAGCTGCTAATGGCATTTCAATGACCTTCCAGTCTATTTTTAAAGCTATTGCTCCTGCAGCTGGAGGTGCCATGTAAGTAACAGAATTTTGCTTTACATTTTTTTTTTTTTTGCTTCTGGTGGTGCTCAGCAAGTGTCTTGGTTTTTGCTATAATGAATACTAACACATATCCAAATTTGAGATTTATTCATACTTCTTTTTATGATTACTGGAAAATTTATATCATCGTTAGCAACATGCATTTCAGTTTGGGAATTCGAACATATATACATCAAATCATACACCGAAAGGCTGAGAAAGCATTTTTCTTTTTTTCAATTATGGGCCTGCATATGTTCATTAAAGTCGTCAATCAATTCTTGTTTGTACCTGTGAAATGTATATGTTTGTTGAGAAACTACAGATGGTCCTCATAAGCTGACATAAGATTTCAGTAAAAAGATTTGTATGACATATTCATATAAAAATATTTACTCTTTTATCATGAAATAATGGTGCAATAAAAGGAATTGTGAATCTCCCATTTTTATTATACTTGCAGTAATTTTTCCCCATTTTATATTTGCTTTGTTTTAATTTGAGACCATGCTCGCCATTTGTTAATTCATCCATTTTAGCTATAGTTTGATGGATGTTCCAAGTCAACACGGGGAATACTCGCTTGAATTGCGAAAATAGGTCTAGCCGAAAATTAATATGTTTAAATATTAATTTGCATTATGGAGGGCTAAATTTTTGACTTTCCAGATCCTTCTGTACATTAATGAATATACATATATATATATATATATATATATATATAT